AAAAGGGCCCACTACAAAGGAAAAAAAACTGAGATTATGTCACGTTGTCGTGGTGACTTTTTAAATTTCACTTTACCAGTAGCATGCTGTATTTTTGACTGCCAGTGAATATGGAAATACAAAAGAGAAAACATGTGCTTTTTGTGTTTATAGCAATTTTGCCTGTACGTTTCACCTGCCGTCAAGCCAATCTGAGCGTATTGCCACCAGCATTTCACTAACTCTTTTGTTTTCCCATCCCCAGCTATGTAGAATTGAAGATGTGTCGCTTTGAAAACCTTTACCACTCAGGTTTTCTCATACATGTGTATGCGCATCTGTCGTGAAAGAGTCTTTGGAAAAAAATAGATGGGAAAATCGCGATGAGGTATGCTCTAAATATCCACTCACATTTACACAGTACTGTACAGAAGAAATCGTGTGTGTTATCCACCTTGAAGACACAGCAGCATCGCAGTTTTATTTCCCATGTCTTCCTTGTGAATCGAAATGAATATTACCGGACGGTCCCAAACCGGGGTGATTCCTACATGTGCCAAACCCAAGTAGCTCAACTGTGTGAACCTGACGGCTGGAGCATGATGCGGTGAGAAGTGCCCGCGTTTCCAAAGGCCTCTGACCACCTTAGGGAGGTGGGAAGGTATTTCCTAGTCTGTCATCCGCTGTACAGGAAGGGATCCGATTTTTCGCTTTCTGGGCTGATGTTGCGCGAGCGTTGAAATTTGGCCATTAATTGGGCTGTGAGTAAAAATACCAGGATTTTTGTGAATATGCTGTCATGGGTGTAAAATTATTCTGCGGCTATCCATGGATTCACTGTTAGAAAATCTCATGAAAGGGAGAATCCAAGACTAGAAGAAGGTTGTTGATAATACCTGCTTTTTGATATAATACAGTGTGTTCATAAGTCAAAATATTTATCCTTCAGAGATGTTTTTGTGAGGCAGAAACACGGCCTGGTGTACATTTGGAACATAACAGTATTGCTAAAAGGATGGAGTTTATTTTATTTTTTTAAACATATGTTTATATACTGGCAAAAGTTGTAATGTAAATGCACTTTTACTAGCAATATTATTTTATTTTTTGCTGGTATAGCATATTTCTCTTGTGAACTGCATCTCCAGTGGAAATGGAGCTCGGCTGGCAAACTCTTTCGCAAACAGGCTGTGAGAGCAGCTCGCTTTAAGGAACTGGCAAAAGAATTTGTAAAATGGCCTCACTCCCCTCCGATCTGTGTTTGGCCTAGTGTTGCTGCTTGACCTCTGTGTAAGGCAAGGCCTTGGGCTGAAGTGCTGGCTGGCCGCTCACCAGCACTGCGGCTGTATCGACCCTTCACCAGCCCTCCTTGAGCTGCTGTTGGTCTCTCACCACCCGGCGAGGTGGACCCGGATCTGTAACGTCCTTCTAAAGACGAACACAGCGTATTTGGTGCGTAGTTGTTACAGCACGTGGATCGGGTTTTGTTTGAGGCCTGTGCAGGCCTGTTGACACCAAACTTGGATATGTTGCTCCACGTTTGGTAAAGGGATGCTGCCAACTTGATTGTTTCTGTGTTTCTGTCAAAGAATTTGTAGCTACTTTGGTTTCAAGTAGCATCTAAAATCACTGTCTGAAAGAAGTGAAGGATACTTTTGTTGTTTTTGCTCTAAAAATGCATGTTTTACATTTAGCTGTAGTTTATCCATATGGGTTACAGGTTCTTTTCTGTGTTGAAAAGACATACAGACATCCATCCGTCCAGGAACATCAAGTTTACACACTCAAAGTTGTGTTAAAAATGAAAATATAGTGCATACTATGTAGAGTGCTCTGTTAGAAAGTGCAATTTTTGAAAAATCCAAAGAAGTTACAAATTTTGTATTCGAAGGAACGGCTGACTTTCCTGTCTTGCAATGAAGCCGGCAGCCTGGCATGCTCACAGCTGAGCCCTTAACCTTGCCCTGGAGAATTCCTTGGGAAAAGTACAGAGTTGCATCTTCAGGTCTGCCCCTTCTCTAGGTTTTATCTCTGAAAATGTAGCCACAATGTCTTGTCTTTGGCGGAAAAAAACACCAAAACAACCAAAACCCAGCTTCTTCCAGCGGGGGCACTGCAGTTCATTCTCTCAGGTCCTGGGACTAAACGGAATGGAGGTTTCTTTCCTGTGTCTGCGTGTTCCGTGACAGCAGCATTTCCCGTGGCATTGGGAATGTTTCTCACTGAGACATTTGGTAACTACACATGCATAAAAGGTGCCTAGCGTTGTGCTCTTAAACCCTGCTAAGCGTTCTGTCGGCTGTGATCGCTGTGTAGTTGTGAACTTCCCTTTCCCTGTCCAGCTGCGTCCCGTTCTTCTGTGGAAAGCCCAGCAGATGACTTCTGGTTTTGATCAAAATGCGTAACAGCGGTCTCAAAAGGAAGATCTAGGGTGAAGTATTACCAGTGAGAGTGGATTGACATTCTCTTGTACTACAAGGAGATTTATGGTTGTTTACAGCCTGAGCTAAAGTTAATTTGATCAGGAGAGCCCTTTCCTAATTACAGTGGGCTCGTTCAGCCCATCTGACAGCCTGCGTGCGAAGAAGACCCCGCGGTGCTGATGGGGGTGACGCATTAATGTTGGAACATGCCTAACTGCTGCTGCTGTCCTGAGACAGATCCTGCTGGCTGCTGGGAAAGCTTGGGACAGATGTCTTCTGTGCAGAGGTGTTACTTGGCATTACAGCTACGCTCCAGAAACCCTGAAGTGTTTTTCCCTTGTAGCATAGAATTCACTTTGTCAACAACTGGCTCATCATGAAATTTCTAGAAAGCTGTGGAGGTTGATGCTTGCTCGGTGCTTGTTACTTAAGATGCCAGGGAGACAGGCGGCGGGGTTTGTATGATCCTCAGCCTCTAGGGTTAATGCCCTGGATTAAAGCTCTCTTCTTCAAGCGAAGGTAAACAGGTCTGTGACTGCAGTGTAGGAGGAAACATCTGTCCAGTGAGAAGTGAAGTCAGACAGCGCATTTGGTGCTCCTTTGTAGCGTTCAGGAAAATAAAGATCTCGCCTGTAGCAGTTTTGTTTACTGAAAGGAGAAGCGAAGCTTTTTTATTCACTGAAAGGAGAAGACATCCTTATTTTGAGGAAAATCTTGCTTTGCCAGAGCTGTTCTCCAGGGGATTTTGGAGTGAAGTGGTAGCAATTTCGAATAGCCACGGGTTGGGGATGCCAGGCTTGAAATGGTCCTTAGGTGGTGGGATATGCAGGTAGCTCTCCATCTGCAGTTGTCTGCAGGGGGTTTTACCCTTGCAGCTTATGTAAGCTGGCTCTGGTGAAATAGGGATTTTCCAGATGATTTTGGCCAGATAGTGGTTTCTTTAAATTTTCTTCCCTCCTTTGCTCACAGACTCCTCATGAGCCCAACATACACCTTTCAGAGTCTCGACATCACGTCTGCATCTCTTGCCTATTGGAGAAGCTGAACCCAGACGGTGCCTGGCCTCCACATCTGCCGCGTGCTCCACCAGGGATTTTCCCAGGCAGGTAGGTTTGAGATGCCCTCATTACCCAGGGGTGGCAAGTAGGGAATTTAGCAGCTTGTCTCCGCAATAGGAGGTATTAAAGGGAATGATTGTCCAGTGTCATGAGATCAATACAAAGACAAGGCGTGAAAAAACTTTCCTGTCCTAAGGCTCCTTCTTAAAACCAGACCTTTTGGGTGTGTGTGCGTTGATATGAGCTCTTGCAAGAGGTTCTGTGGAGGCTGCCATGCCACGTGGACGCTCTTTCAAAGTGATCAGAACGCCTTACAAACTGAGGCAGATCAGGAGAGAAGGGGGCATTTACTCAGGTTCGCTGCGAGTTAAGAAGAGGAGCTGGCAATGAGTTAACTGAGGCGATCAAGGCTGGAAGAGGAGCCGAGACCGGTGGGCACTTGGTATTTTCGGAAAGAAGCGTACACTGGCTGCAAAAATGACAAAAGCACGCCCTTTTCATTGCCTGTTGTAGTTATTCCCCGGGGCAATGGCTGTTGTAATGTCTGTATGGAGGAAATCGGGTGTGCAGTTTAAATCAAAATCTCTCCCTGCTGGCCAGCAGCAAGTTAGGGGAAGGGGGTATAATTTAAAGAAAAAATATATCTCTTTCTGGGCTGGTGGCTAATGGACTACAGGATGCTCTTAACTTACTAAGAGGAAGCATGGTATCTATTTGCACTACTTAATAGCTCTCCACAGACCACTGAAACACACTGGAACCTCTCCTGAAAAGTGCTATTCTTGGCTTGTTTTGTGGAATTATTTTTGTTTTTAAAGTAAAATGTTTCCAAAAAGTTTAAAGGACTTTGCGTCTGGGAGACAGGGGAGGCAGGCTCCGTGATCTTACAGAACTCGGGATAAGGTGGCGGCAAGGTCTTGCACCAAAAGGTCATTTACGTGGGTGACTGCCAGGCTGCGTCATTCTTCTACTCCATTCATTCCACTCTGCTTCGATTCATGACATACTGGGAAGGAACAGAAAGGCTTACTTTTAGAAAGCAAATTGTAGTGTACATTTTGTTTTTCCCACTATGTATAAAAAAAGAGTACATTTGGGTGTAATCCTCTGCAAAAGTAGGGCCAAAGATAACGTCATTCATAGCTTTAACGGGCTTTCTTCTCTTTCAGGACTCTTCCCGAATGTGTAGGGCCATGGAAAAGTTACCGTGGGATGATGGCAGCTCTGCAGTACCTTCCTCCATCCACACCTTCTCCATGCGGCAAGTGCCAGGTGGGGTATTGAGGGGCAGCTTTTCTCTCGTGCCTCTGTGCTTTGGGACTGCACCCACCCCACAGTGGGGTGAAGGTGTCAACAGCTTCCCCGGTTTCTGCCCCCCAGCTGCAAAGTGCCTGGTGCCCCTTGTGTGCTGGGTGGGTGGGGCTGGGCGAAAGAGCTCCTGGGTCTAGCCCAGTCTTGCCTTTCCTGTGGGTGGATTGCAAATGCAATGGGATCTGTCACATGGAGAGGGACAAACGAAAGCGTGAGGTACAAATCAAACCTGGTTTCTTGATCCTCTGCTGGCGGCACAGGCCTGCTTGGAAGAGAACCAGCAAAACCGTAAGTAAATCTCCACCACAAACTAATCACCCATTTGTTTCTTGGAACAATTCAGCCTCATCCAATGGACTTTGGCAATTTTGATCAAAGCTCCTTTTTCTCTAGGAAGAGAATAGCAGAAATATGCACTGTTCCCCCTCAGGAGCTAGTTAGCATAAAAACCAGAGAGGCTCTATCACTCTGAAGCAGAGCCAAAACCAGGCCAAATTATCCTGGCATAGGATTTTGACTCTGTCTTCCAAACCTCCCTAGAATTTTCCTTCCCATCTAATGTTACAGCCTCCTATCCTGCCTTTCCTCACAGCCAAATGTGCCTGACAGCAGGGTCTGGCCCCCTGCATTGCACCATCATGCAAATGCTAGAACTGAATGTCAAGAGAACGTCCCTGGTGCCTCTGGCCCCGCTCCATGACCGGACAGGTTCGCTACTTTACAGAGGTAAAAAGCAGCGTCAGGGACCTGCTCGCATAGGTGAAGGTCACTGACATCACCCGAGTCATGGCACAGGGAGCTGTTAGGGAGGGGAGAGGCTTTATCAGCTCCCAGACGCTTCAGGAATGTCCTGTTTGGTCCAAACATCTGAGAGTGCGGAGCCTGGCTCCCAGGGGCCTGCACCCAGCAGTAGGGGCCATTCTCATCTCCAAAGACCATTTAAGCTATTTTGTGAGGGAAGGATAAATAAAAAGAGTAGTTACCTTTCCCTCTCAGCCATGTCTTGTTTCTCTTCTGCCCTGTAAACACAAAGCACGTTTGAAATCTGTCATCTGGAGGCGAGCAGTGTGAAGGAGGAGAGTATCTAAGGTCTTTCTAGGGAGATGGCTGGACCCCAGACAGAGGTTACAGGTCTGATCAAACGTGACTGCTGGCTTCTTGTCCCTGTGAAACACAGCCTTGCTAATCCTGATGCTCTCTGGATGCCTCTGTTGGCCCTAGAGGGACACAAAGCACGTTTGAAATCTGTCATCTGGAGGCGAGCAGTGTGAAGGAGGAGAGTATCTAAGGTCTTTCTAGGGAGATGGCTGGACCCCAGACAGAGGTTACAGGTCTGATCAAACGTGACTGCTGGCTTCTTGTCCCTGTGAAACACAGCCTTGCTAATCCTGATGCTCTCTGGATGCCTCTGTTGGCCCTAGAGGGAGGTAGCAGCGAGAGGTTACAGGTCTGATCAGACGTGACTGGCTTCTTGTGCCTGTGAAATACAGCCTTGATAATCCTGATGCTCTCCGGATGCCTCTGTTGGCCCTAGAGGGAGGTAGCAGCCCTAAAATAGGGCTGGACGGCTGCTTTTCAGCAGCGGCTGAGCTGAATCCTCCCAAACTTCTAGACTTGATGATCCTAAAGGTACGATTGAACCGAATCCTCCCAAACTTCTAGACCTGATGATCCTAAAGGTCATTTCCAACCTAAAGATTGTATGAAACAGGCACCTCCCATCCAGTTCACCAGCACGAGGAGGTGTTCTAGCCCATCGCTCCTGTGCTGACCCAGCTGCTCCTGCCCCTGTCCCTGACTGCCTTTTGCTTTTAGCGGAGCCGGCTCTTACCACTGTTTCTGACCGGCACTTCTAACCTGAATCACCGGGGATGGAACCAACGGGTCTGGAAAATGAAACAAACCAAACCCTAAATGAATGGCCCTCTTTATGCCACTCTAGCAGAATGAAGTGGCTTGTAAAACAAGCACTAGCTCTCCATTTAAAGTGAGTTTGCGTGGTCATATGGGGAAAATGGGCCACTTTTATACATAGAGTGATTTCTGATGACCTGTGCTAGCACATACGGGGCATGTTCAGGATGTGCGCACTCGTGGGCTTAAGAGGGACAGTGCTATGAATAAATAACCTTTTAATCAAGCTTCTCCTCCCTCCTGCAGCTTTTGCTTACTTTGAGGAAATCAGTAGAAAGTAAGTGTGGGATATCAGGGCAGGAAAAACACAGAATCGACCGATTATAACACAAATGATGAGAGAAAGCAACAACATCCCAAGAAAATGAACCTCCCATCCATGCTCCCCCTCCCCCCCAGTTAATTTTACCTTTCTTTTCTGGCCTTGATCCTTTCTTCTTCATATCTGCAACAAACAGGAGACATTCTTTGTGTGTTACCCACTCAGGACTGGGCACTTGTAGTGAAATGCAGTGTTTGCTCCAAAGGTGACAGAAGGGGCAAACCAGCACAGCACGCAGGCTCTTACTTGGCACCGGTAAGATAAGGTTTACACAGTATCCTGCTCCATAGGATGCTCGTCCTGTGCCTCCTCACAGCCCCGTGTGCCCCAGGGTCCCTCTGATACTCACTGTAAGACGCAGTCTGGAATCTGCACATGCTCCATTGGGATAAGTTGCTCCAGTTCCTCCAGGCTGTGGACATACTGGATCTTATTGATAAACTTCACACTGGCAGAGAGAGAGAGAGTGTGCTTGAGGTCTTGTTTTGGTGTTCTCGACATAGGAAGTCAGAATTTTCCTGATGGAGGTGGGGAGTTTGGCACGTCTGTATGCTCTGTAGTCCGATGCACCCATCTCCTCCCAGTGCTAATAATGCTGATGACTAGAAGTCGTGGTGAGATGCCACACTGCTGTACCTCCCTTTGCTTTGACCCCCACCTCTCAGCGTAGGAGGGAAAAAGGACCACCGTTCCCGTACTTCCCAGTAAATCTTTATGTGCTGCCCACTGGGCCAAGCTTTGATCTGGATCCTGACCACCACTGTATCTCCTAAAACCACCCCTAGAGCTGTCCTTGAAAGTATCAGAGACAGGTGACCAACAGTCTCACCTTGGTCACTGCTTGTTAGAGGTGAGCTTACGATCTGATTTGTGACATTAAACTTCCACTCCAAAACCACTGGGAACATGTTATATTTACCTGATGAAGGGTCTGGATATCGCCAGCACTGTCCGGATGAACCACGAAGGATGCACAATTATCAATGCTTTGAGGTTTTTACGCAGCCTGTGGAAAAGCCATGGGACAGCAAATCAGATTCAAAGTACCTGTTCTTAAACCCAGCTGTACCGTGTCAGGGCACAAGTGTTACGGTGCTCACCAGCCGCAGCTGGTGTCTCCAGCCAAAAGCCGTGGCCTTAGGAACCCTATTTAAGCTCAGGCCTGGCAGGCTGCAGGAACACTGCTGTGCTTGGGTACTGTGTTAGCCTGATCTCTGTGAAGGTGCTTGGGAGGGAGAAGAGGCAATGGAGAGAGCCTGGAGTAAGTAGGAAAACTGTGTTAGGGGCAGATATTACTGAATCTGGGGAGTGAGGAAGGATGGGTGGGTAGGAAGGCTGCAAGGAAGCAGTGGAAGAGATGTGTGAAGAGAACTGGGAGGAATGAAGAAGCAACACCAGCAGGATTCTCACCTTCTGTCTATCATCTGATAGCATTTCTTCAGCCAGCCGAGGCCTGGCATCCTCCTCCGGGGCGTTGCTCCGTTCAGGTACACGATCATATAGTCCTCAGCCACCAGCAGCTCCAGACTACTGATCACGTATCTGTTGGGTGGTGAGCAAAAGCCACGGGAACATGAGACTCAAAAAAGGTCCCCTGAAGTTTCTTCTGCCCGTGGGCCACCCCTTTCTTTGCAGACTTTGGAATAGGTTTCGGATTCTCCTGGCACCTCTGTGGGATGCCCCGGAGGTATTTCTCAGGGATTGCTGGTACATGTTAGCGTAGCGTGTACACTGGTGGGCACCCCTGCGCTGTTGTTCTGCCTAGCAGGAGATCTGCCAGCTGTCCAGCATCGTGCACATATGCTCCAGCCTGGTTGTGAGTCCATCACCAGCATAATTAACACTGAATGTTGGAGTGCTTTGACTTACTGGACTTGGACACAAACGCTGTGACAGTGCCTTGCCCAGCGATGCTCCAGTCTGCAGCTGCACACTGGGTACGCTTGGCCTGGAGTCAAACTTTTTTCTAGCTGAGGTTCCTGATGCAATGAATGCATGGAAACTGTTTCCCCAGAGCCCAAGCTACCTTCCTTGCCCTCCTTTCCCCCCCAGACCTCGACCACTCACTTACAGGAAGAGGTTCTCCATGATGTAGTGGTAATCAGCCAGGTTACTGTCCGGGAGATAGCAGGCAGCAAAGACAATGATGGCATTGAGACCTTCTCCATAGTATCCTGGGAAAGACAGACACAGGCAGCATCAGTGACTCTTTCCAAGGGGAGATGAAAGAGTGGAAGGAAAAATAACAGTGAAGACGTATTGCCAGATTTGGGCCTGGGCTGTTTTTGTGACACTGTTCAGCTTTAGGTTAGTGTTTGTCCTTCTTGTGGGTCTCTTTCACAATCAGATTTGCCTCTGATCCTGGTTTTTGGCTATAACGTGTATTGTGGGGTTCAGGGAAGGAATTTGTGTGTGTCAAAGCGCAGAGCTGAGAGCTTTGCCCTGGGTCGTTTCAGAAATGGTCACTAACTGCGGGTGTACTGGCCTTTAGCTGTGCCTCCGGAGAGAGCTCAGGCGCTGAGCTGCCGAGGGAGCGCGCCCCTGCAGCCCCTTCCTTGCTGGCCATGCTCCCGCACCCAGGGCTCAGGGTCAGGGTAGATTCAGCCTTGCTCAGAGCCAGCTTTATGACTGCTCTGGTTTATTGAAAGACTCCCACATGGGCTATCTGTTTTTTAGCATGAGCTGGGTGCTTTTGTGCTTATCTGTCACACAGCCATACAAAAGGAATAGCAATTTGTCCCTGAAGAGAGTCAAAACAATCAGTCGTGGCATCCCCTCCAGCCTGACAAAGATGGACTAAAATAAATCCAGGAAGGCAGGGTCAGGCGTCCCTCTCCCTCACCTCCGTGTGTCACCACTCTCATGTAGGGTTTGATCATCTGGAGGTCGATGCGGTGCTCCTGCTCTCCGATGATGACAGTCCTCCAGAGCCGTCCGTTAGCAGCACTCCCATCTTCCGTCCCGCCGTCCCCAAACAAGTCTGCGCTGTCCCCAGGCATGTTCTTGGCTGTAGCTACAGGAGTGTCATCTGGAAGGGGAACAAACATTTCTGCCTTTCACACGATGTGCGAAGAGGGCTCTGCAGGAGTTTGGGTGTGCAGTGAGAGACAGTACCAACCGCAGCCCGGGGATGGCCTGCTTGGACCTGTGTAAGTCTGTGGGTTTCTGTAATCTTGCTCTATTGCCGAATTGTGATGGAAATAAGCTTAACACCTCATGCTGCTGAGAGGGCCTGCAGTCACGGGCAGGGCACCAGACTTTTTGCTGGATCCTCCGTCAGACCCGTCTACGTGGGACACCTCCTCTGCCTCTTGCCTTCTGATCTGCCAGCAGAGCTGCCTGCATGAGTCCTCCTCAGCCCGATTCAGCCAAAATCAGCCAGCTTGGCAAAGACCGTGTTATTCAAGACCTTTGAGCACTCACGTGCCAGCTCTACTGGCAGAGCTGAGCGGGTGGCACCTCTCGGAGCTCCTTCTGCCCTCACTATGCCCAGATGGAAGTGCTGAGATAGCAGCACTGAGACTCCTGGGCTATAGGTGGGGTGCTGGGGGGGCAGACATTGTGTGGAAGGTGGGGCTCGGTGGTGTGTGCTGTGCTTCGCTGCTGGGGAAGTTGATCCTCAGCAGCTGATGGTGAGTGGGGTCAAATCGGTTAAAATCAGGCTAGAAAAAAGCCCCCAGCCCTGCAGATATTCACCCAAAACCGGCCTTTTACCTTCCCATTCCAGTTCATTCCCGTTCCCCAGGAATTCGAGGGAATCTGTCTCATCAGGAGTTTCAATATCATCCACGTTAATGTCCAGGTCGTCTGGTGTGTCCAGGAAGTCATCGGAGAGAATGGAGCCTTCACTCTGGTCCAGGGAAATGTTGATTTCAGGTGCAACAAGTGTCTTCCGCTTACGATGCGCCCCGTTAAAGTTTAAAGTATTTGGGGGAGCTGGAGTTAAAAGGAAAATAACTGACAGGTTGTCCTCGTCCTGTATCCTTAGTGCAAGACATGGTGCATGTTTTGGGCTACGGTCTCGGGAGCTAAGGGTGGTGGATCATAGCTGGGAGGTACTGGATGCCCGCAGGTATGGCTGGATAACTGCCCACACTTCTGAGACACCTATTTCCTCCCCCAGCTTCTTGTGAAAGATTAGCAAATTCAGATCTCTGCTGGTTTCCTCTCCCACATGGGAAATTTCTGCGGATACTCCAAGGGAGCTGGCTTTTGCCCTAACTGCAAGCTGCTGTTCCCGTAGGCTTGTTTTCCTTTGAACTCCTGATAAGGCAGGCTGGTACTTACAGGATGTATTCTCGTCTTCCGTAGGGCTGCCCAGCGACTCCATCCCCGTCTCTTCTGGGAGAGGTCTGCAGGCGGAGATGTGGAGGTAAAAAGACAGGAGATAACGGGATGTTTAGGAGAAAGTCACTTCATGGCAGAGAGTGGGGAGAGTGGGGGACATCAGGGGAAAACCACTCCATCCCATGTGTGCTCTGCCCTTTCCCTTCGCCTGTGAGCTCAGCCTGAGGGCCATCCTCCGGTGGCTTGCCCAGGAGCATCCCAGCCGCTGCGCTTTCCTACTGGAGCACTGTGCAGTCCCCAGTAACCCCCAGACTATCCCTGCATTTACTCCCTCAACACATCTCTCATGCTACCATTCAGCCAAGAGGCTCCAAAATCCAGCCTCTCAGGGCATGGGAACAAATCCTGTCCCCAGAAGAGCCTGGTAAGATCCCTACTCTCTCCACATTATCCCCATTTTTAACTCCGCCACAAGTTCGAGAGGCAGCGCCAAGCTCTAGGGCTCCTCCGAGGGTACCAGCGAACATGATCTGCAGTTGCCTTCGGCCCCCGGCCCTGGCTGCAGCCGCAGCGAGACACTATCCAAAGTACCTGCCACAGCCACCTCTCCCAGGAGGCCGCAGCCTCCTTGGCCTACGGTGACTTTGCTCTCAGGCAGTCGGTGTTCAAGGCAAGGAGCAAACCTTAGGTGTGATCCCAGAATCGTCACCCCATCCTTGCCTCTGCCCCAGTTTGACAAAAGCTGACACTGATACCAAACCCTGCTGGGGTTTGGAAGCAGGTTCATGCTGAGCTAAAGTCCAGGCACCAGCACTCAAATCCATGTTTCAGAGCCAAAGGCAGACCTTCCCTTCATCTCCAGGGCGGAGGTTAGGATTGGCAGCTTCTCCTGCTTGGCTCCTGCATCTCTTGGTATAAATCTCCATGTCTCCAGATGGAGACTAGAAGCATCAATTGATTTAAAAGTGGCTTTCCTACTGATGCCACATCTCATTACAGGGTCATCGCCCTTTGGGAGTTGCTGGAGTCGCTCCTGACCCGCACTGGGGCAAGTGAAGTCAGAATCTGGCTCCCAGTGCTGCGGTGAGGAGCCCCAGCTGGTGGCTGAGCAGTACACGCCCACCCGGAGCTGGACATTTTCGGGATGCTTTTCCCCTCGATTTGAGCTGAGACTTGGTCCTGTCCCCTGCCAGTAGCTGGGTTTGAAACATCTTGCGCAGCGTGACCAAACCCCACCAGCCCCAGGACAAGCTCATGTTATCAAAAGCCTGTTTAAAAGGGGCCTTCTGAGCCATCTTCCTTTCACCTGCCCTTGCTGGAAACTCCCCCTCAGCAGAGGCGTCGCATCCTGAGCGCTGGGGTGAAACGGGGGGAAACCCACCAGTTTGAAGGCAGTGCTGTAAGAACGGGGATGGGACTGTGCTGGTGGCCTTATGGTCCAGCGAGGGCAGGGAGGGAGACGATGGAGTCCGCAGGAGGATACAGCCTCGCTCTGCCCTACAAAGGCTCCTCTGCCACGACACCAGAGCCACCAGCCAAATTAAACCCTATAAATATTTAGATTAAGGGATAATCCTCTTCTAGCTGGTTATTGTATATTTATGAGAGCTGGAGACCTGATCAAAGGCGCTTGCTCTGGGCTCGCTTGTGCAGCGCCTGGACCCTGTGGGCTGCCACAATATTCCTGAGCAGCCAAAGATCCCCCTGCCCCCCTCCAGCCTCTCCTCCTCCCTTCTGCTTTGGTCTTGACCAGGGCCCGGCTGGTTGTTTATCTGACTGTGAGCTGACACTGGCACAACTTGGTGCTACAGCATCGGAAGGGGGGGCGGGGGGCCCAGCTGTGCCCGAGTACGTGCTGCACTCCGGCACTCTGCTCTCTGACGCTGGGGTTCGTGCAAGAAAAGCCATTCAAAAGACAGAGGTGAAGAAAAGGGCTTTCTTACCTTCCCAAGGGATGCTCCAATCACTACCTCCCAGTCTCCCGTGTAAATCTTCCTTCCCAAACGCAGCTAGCCCCAGATGCCAAATCTCCTGAACGAAGCGGGTTTTCTAAGGGTCGGGTGCCACCATTTTGCTCTCTGCTGCTGGTGAGCTGCCCAGTTTCCCCTCCAGCAGCACCTTCTCTCGGGCCCCGGCCAGCCCGAGCCCTCACCGACCGCGATCCGATGGGTGCGTGCTGGAGCGAGCGTGCTCCTGCCTCCCTCGGCACAGCATCGCTGCGGGACCACTTGCACAAACGGCTGAGCCAGGCTGCCAGCCGGAGGTTAAACCTTCTGGGAGCAGTAGGAGGGGGGGACCCTTTCCTCTCTGCTTGCTCGCTGCTGTGACATTGCACCTTTGCAGGCTGCCAGGCAGGAGCCCGCTCTGCAAATCAGCTTCTCCAGGAGGGATGGGAACATCGTCTTGTGTCCTTCATGAGCAGCTGAATTCAGTTCCCCCAGCCCAGATCTCTGTCTAGGATATGGTTCTTCTTTTTTTTTTTTGGTGGCAAGATTGGTTAATCACAGCTAAGCAAAAATAGCTCTGCAGCAAATCATCTGCCGGAGAGCTACTGTCCCACATGCAGCAGCCTCTGCCCTATTATTTGAATGCTTCTAGGGGGAAGTGTCTTAAAAATCATTATTTCTTTATTTGTAATGCCAGTTAAACACAACCAGCATTCACTCCTTTGCCCAGTGGCTGTTGGGGCTCTAGTTCTCTTACATCACTCCTGATTTAATCCCTCTGCAGCAGTTTGTCAGTGGGCTGGGGGTGTGTTTGTAGGGCTCTGGCCTCGTCCCTGCCACTGGCTTTCCACCCAGCCATAGTCACGTCCTTTTACCTCCCCCTGGGCTTCCTTTCCTAGGCAGGCAGGATGATGCCCTCCCCCTCCTACCCCGCCAAGTGGGGCTGGGGGCTCTGCAGAGAGGATACCCCTTGAAGGCTTGGCTGTGGCTGGGGTAAGTTTGCTGCCCGTGTGGCAAGTGTGAAACGGAGCCTGACAGCTCCTGCTTCAACACGATGGTGTGGTTAGTGCACAGGGCAGCGGGGCCGCCGGGAGTTCTGCCTGCCACGTGTCCAGCTTTGTCCCCACATTTTCTAAGGAGCTTTGGGTCAATCCTTTCCTTCCTGTAACTCATTTTCCTTCCTATACCTCTCTTTCCTTCCTGCACCCTCAATGAAAAGCTTGTCAGCACAGCCCTGGGGGAGCTGTTGGCAGAGGTCCATCAGCCCAAAGCTCTGCTCTCAGAGGAAAGAAAAGCCCATCCTAGCAACCCCAAGGGCTTGGCTGAGCCCACCTCAGGCCAGCGGAAGGCCAAGCCGTGTCCTGCGAGGCGGGTGCTGGGCCGGCAGACAGAGGTGCTTAGATCAGCGACGCAGCTGGACCTGGGTGAACAGAGCTCGGCTCATCCGCCGGCGCCTGGGGAACAGGAGAGCCTTTCTAGCGTGGTGGGCACTGCGCATGCCCACCCGCGCGGCACACTGCCCCACTGTCTGCGAATACAGGGGCTCTGTGGGCTGCCCCCGGGAGTCCAGCTGCAGCCGGGACAGGGCGAGATGGCCCTGAAAAGCCCCTCCGCAGCCCGGCTGCAGCCAGGCTTGGTGGTGGCCATGCCGTGTGTCCCAGCGAGATGCTGCTGGGCCATGGGCAAGGTGTGGGGCAATGCTGGGGGGGAGTGAGGGTGGGTGCACCCTCTGGGTGGCTGCAAGGAGTTCAGCACACACTGAGCTCACGGGGATTATTGTTGGCACTCTGTGCAGTTCATCAAGTGTTGGTGAAGGTGCCACTTTGGCACCTTCTGTCACCCACGCCATCGTTTCTTACAAGGTTGGCAACCCCCCAGATTCTGCACATCAGTGCCAGCGGTCATCGCATCCCACTGACTCCGCTTCCTGTGGCAAATTCCTGCCAAAGCAGCATTGCTGTGTTTGGGGAGACACTGCTTGATTCAGAGACTGGGAAGGAGTCCATCCATCCCTATATCCATCCACCCATGCTAATCTCCCTGTCCTCCACACCTGGCCCCTTACCCTCTCCTTGGCATGCTCACAGACACCTCCCCAAAATTTTTAAGCGTTCAGACCAGCCTTGCTACAAAAGCTCGGTCCTCTGGCCAGAATTGCCCTGTGGAGCTGAGACCTTGGGTAGTGGGAGGGACCTGCGTGCTGCGTGACCTGCTGATTTCTTAAAGGAGGAAATAAAATTCTCCCTGGCTTGCTTTTTTTCAGGGAACAAACCTGGGGAAGTCTTCATCTTGCCACTCTTCCTTCACATCCACGTTTTCCATCCGCAAAGTGGCTTCTGTGGTTCCCATCGTGCTCAGGGAGGGGCTGGCTGCTCAGCGGTTCCCTCTGGGAAGGGCTCAGGCTGGAAGGCGGAAGGCAGAGAGGTTGGCACTGAGCATCACGACCGGGGAGCGTTTAATCCAGACTGTTCACAGTAGGTATGCCGAGACCGTGCTCCACAGACACGCAGCGCGGTAGCTGCTTGTTTTGCAAAGGCGAGGACACGGGGTTTTGTGGCTACTTGGCACACTTTGGTCAAGAAAGAGGAGGTGAGGCTGGCCCTGAATCAAAGCAATAGGTGCTTCTGCTCTGTTGTGACCTCAGCTCTTCTCCCTGAGGATCAACACTGCCTGGGCTGACGTCCACCCGTTTTTCCCTTGCTACTTCTCTTCCAGTATCAATCTTGACATAAACAAGCACCTCTGCTGAGGGAGATGAAATGTGGCTGCAAGGGAAGAGAAGAAAGAGCTCCTCCCAGGCTGGTGTCAGGTTGGTTTGGCTGTAGCACCAGTTTCCATTTTGTTGGCCTGGGCAGAAGTTAATGGCTTTGGTTTTGCAGAGAAATTCCTGGCTATTGCTGCCTGGTCCCCCGGCTCCCCCCTCCATCCCCATGCTTGTCCCCGCACCCACGGAGGAACGGAGGCAGGCGAGGGGGCCTTCACAGGGATGCTAAATGTCCTTCCACACCTCTGAAGAAGTCCCATCTCTGCCTCGCTCCCAGGTAAGTCAAAGCAGATGCCCACAGAACTGGAGCACCTCAAATGGAGGCATGGTGGGTGTGCTGCTCCCAGCCTGGGCTTTCTCCTGCCCTGGTATGCAGAGAAGTTCCAATCCAGCCAGTTTTCCCTCACACCAACACCCCAGCAGCGCGAGGGGCCCTGAGCACCGTGTGCCTTGTTTGCCTTCACGCGAAGGTTCCTACGCTGCCAGCCAGCAAAGCTCAGACTTGGTACCTCTTTCCTGGGGTTGTGCCTGCGGCTCCTAACACGGCCCAGCTGCGGGCTTGGGACCAGGCCTTGCAGGAGCAGCTCTGGTCGGAGAGCAGATACGCTGCTCTCAGCAGGATGCTGCTGCAGCTGAGCTTAGTGGCACCTGAGCCCAGGGGGGCCAAGATCAGGCCTTATCTTACATAGACCGTGTTCAAGTGAAATCAGCTCGTATCTTGGGCACACGCGTTAACCCACCCACTGCAGGACAGTTTTGAATGTTCCTCCTGAGCTCAGTCTGTACACTGTAAAGGTACCCAGGCACTGGCTGGATAGTAACCTGGTTTTTAGGATAAGGGACCTAGGGTGATTTCCCAAGTGGATGGGGCTACTCTGTCTCCTGGTGTCAGGGAAAGCAGCGTCTAGCAGGGTTTGAGCTGCTGCTACAAGGCTCTTCTAGAGAGCCAGTGCTTTTCCTGCTTCCTTTGGAGGCTTGTATTTACAGAGGGTGTCGCTGGTGATGATCTGGAGGGAGATAAATCTGCCTGTGTGTATCTACTTTAAAGGAATGAAGCTACGTGGAGGCCTGAGTAAATCCATCATCCGTCTTTATTACATGCGCTGGCAGAGATAGGAATCAGAGCAAAGAGCTGGCCGTGAGTGTTGCAGGGCTCTCTCTGCCCGGTGTCTCAGCCTTTCCTTCCAGCATGCCCATATGTATTCTGTCCTCATCCCCACGCCTGGCTGCATGCGAAGTCCACGACACCATCACACACGTCTCCATTTTTGACTTCCCTACATGCAGGCAAAGGAGATGCCTTGGGGCTCAGGGAGACCCCACCTTCCCTCCCTCCCTCCTCCCCGCCGCTGTCATCTGCTGTCTGCTAACCCTGAAGGCATCATGGAGGGAGGCAGAGAAAGGTATTGAAGCATTTCCCAGGCTGGAGCCTGATTTTTCCGGATACCAAACATTGCCCAGCAGAATGGAAGCCCAGATGATGCTGTACTCACCGGTGCTTGCAGCTAATGAGGAACAAAGAAGATCCTGCCTGTATCCCAGCAAGACATTCCTCCCGATGGAGACGGGCTGCTCAGGAGGTCCAGCGCCTGGATCCGGATGCAGACGTGTGCGGCTGTCTCAGCGGAGGAGTGTGGGGATGCATCTAGGAGGGCCTTTCTCGCAGTCGTTGCTTTGTGATTTGGATTTTTTTGGGCAGGGGGTGGGGAATCGAGGACAGTTATTTGTATTCTTCCATGGCTGCTGCTTCCTCTGCTGCCTCCCTCCCCTCCAAGGTATTTTATTATTATTTTCCGCTTGCAGCTGGCTAAGCCTCAGCCCTCTTAAGTCAGCTAATTGCACTGCTTTTGTGTGTGAGCAGGATGGCGGTGGTGGTGGTGGTGGCAGGGAGGGGGGGTGTTATGGAGGATGGGTGGAGAGAAGAGCTGAAAGCACCCCCCTTTCTGTGTCACCTCTCCTCCAATTGGCTGCGAGGTACCAAATATCTCCCTACACTCTTCCTCCGGATGAATGGTGCTGCCAGGGGCTGAGCACACCGTCTCCTTGCTGCTTTCAGTGGGAGCAAGGGATGCCCATCATCCAGCAGGATCTGGTCCCGGAGGAGGCGTGGGAGCTGGGAAGGGGAGGGCTTTTTGATACAGTGCATCATTCACCGAGAAAGTGGAAGGTGGCCTCAGCGTGAGGTAGGACGCAGGATTTAATGGTCCATCTTGCCTTGCACATGCAGAGCTGATCCATACCTAGATCTCAGGCTCTGGTCTTTTATCTGGTGCCAGGGCTGCACAGACAGACCCAATGGACAGTCCTTGTGCTGGGGATCAGCCCCTGTTCCTTGCTTCCTGGATGTCTGTAACTGCATTTAGAGTCTGAGACCTTTCCTGGTTCCCTGGCAGACCTAAAAGTGAATGAAGAAGCAGTGATTTTCACCTGCTCCAGACTTGGGGTCTCTGTCTTCTGGTTCCTGGGCTTCAGCAAACAACCTTCCCTCCAGCTCAGGCCAAAGCCCCAGCCCGGCTGCTGGCAGAGGCAGGGTTGGTGTGGTGATGGCTGCTGTCAGAAATCCCTCCCCGTTTCCATCATGCAGCCAGAGTGCTTGGTGCTGTACAGAGGCGAAGGTGGCGCTGGCTTTGGTGGTGACCCCCGTGAAGCAGGTGTAAGGGTTTGTCTCCTGAGTCTTAGCAGGAAGGGCCTGAGAGAGGACATCTCGTTATGTCAGCTGAGAGGGCAGGACTGTGAAGCTGCTGGCTTCCTGCCCTGCGATTTTCCTGTTACCCTCTGCTAACCAGGCAGTTGATTTTTCTCAGGGCCGTTCAGTGGGCAGAGGGGCAGCGGTGGTCTGGAGATCAGGGCATGGTGGGGGATGGAGGAGTGCTGTGTGGTGCAAGCAGCAGCCCACCTATTGCACCTCTTTCTTACGATGAGAAGAGGAGGCCTGTCCTGGTCCTGGCTCCGTGCAGCCCTCTCCTGCAGGCTCAGCACGGCACTGGGGCTCTCCAGCGGTGCCAGCCGCGGTCTGCAGGCTCAGGAGGAAGGCTGATGTGCTGAGATGCTGGTAAAGTGACAGTCTCACAAGGCCCTGCTCCCATCACTTCACCCATTCCATCCTTCTCCCGAAGCCACGTGTCCCTGCGGGGTCCTCTCATGTCCCACATGTTTGGAACTGGGACTTCGGGTACCTCAGCATAGCTCCATGCGGAGATTGATGTTCTTTTAGGCAGGATGAGGTGCTGAGGATGGAATTTCCTCAATCCAGTGGATGCCACTGTAAAGAAAGCAACACACATCAGTGCCAGCCAAATGTTGGCAGCTCCTCGCCACGTGCATGGTCAGCCTGGTAGATCCTGGGTCGGGCCTCAGAGGGATGGTGGGGTATCCCTCGCTCACTTCTAACATTTTGGGCATCCCTGTGGTCCAGGACACACAAGATACTTACGGATGCTTTAGGGATGCATTGCATTTCTTTATATATATTATATATTTCTGTATTGGAAGCAGGCAGAAGATCCATGGGAACAGAGATGCCAGGAAGTCTGTAACACCTGATGGCTCCAAAGTTAATGTCCATAATCTCCAGCTAAGGTGGATACTTGCCTTCTACCTTCATCTTGAGATGAGAAACGCTCTTCTCGCGTTTTCCACGGCAGTTAAAGCCTGGCGGCATGTGAGCACGTACGTATGCACACGGTAGCGTGTGGATGCCATCTACTGGCTGCAGCCCTGGACTTGGAGCAATTTTCATTTTCCAAACCCCAAACCGTGTCTGGTCACGGAGCTATTTCATGGAGCACGTACCGATGGGTCGAGTTAGCCCATCTCTTCTTGCCAGACCAACCGGTTTTGGTGGGAATCCATGTTCTTTTGGTATGCTGGGATGTATAAAGTGAACACTGCACCCAGATGGCTTTCCAGCACTGCGATTCCTCCAGGAATTCTCCTGTGCTGAGCCATGTCCTGCAGAGTCCTGCTGATTCGAAGGAGGCAGTAGCAAGGCAAGGGAATGTGTTGTGCAGGATCAGGGTCTTCCTGATGCTGGGTGTTTTCCCAACGTGCTGAGCCATGTTCTGCAGAGTCCTGCTGATTCGAAGGGGGCAGTAGCAAGGCAAGAGAATGTGTTGTGCAGGGTCAGAGCCTTCCTGATGCTGGGTGTTTTCCCAAGCAGTTTTTTTTACCCTATTCCAATCTCTCTCGTATCTTCACCTGGAATAGTCTTTAAGTTACTCATTAGCTTTTTTCTTCAGTCTGTGCCAAATTCTCACATGACAGGGAGGGAAGGACAGTGTGACACCTTTGGAAAGACACTGATCGTCACATGAGCATCTTCCTTTCCTTTCCCTGAAGGTGACGCTCAGTTTTAGGCAGTGAGAGCTTGTGCCCCAGCCAGCAATCCAGAGGCTCCGGACTATTTCCTACCTGTGTGAACCTGTGATAGAAGTGATTGACTTGTCCAAAACTGCTGATCTTCTTATTGCTATTACAGCAACTCCAGCTGTTTCGTGTAGCTGGTGAAGTCCAAGAGAGAAACCTGTTTTGGAGTCTGCCACGGGAGGGCGGTGAATCCCCCCAGCCTTCGGGAAGGACTCGCTTC